TGTTGAAAAATCTCTGCGCCTTATATAACTAAAAATGACATTTATCCTAGCTTCTGTGTTGTCTGGACCCTCAATACCATTGGATTTAATTTTCTGTTGCATTATGGGGGTTGGTGATTTTTAGCGGGAATAGATGATGCGCGTGCATTGTTCCTGTGGGGCAGCATTTTGCACCAGTAACACATATGTTCCAGTGCAAAACAGAAGGTGAGAATTTTAAATATTTTTTTTTTAATAAATCCTTTAAATTTTAGTTTATGAGTAATACTGTACAAGCAAAATATTAAAATGAATGAAAATATTTTGATATTCTGAATTTGCACCTGAATAGTACAGATATCATATAATAGATTTTAGTAAACTTAATAAAAATTCCTGGTACTTTTTTAAAAATAATTTATTTAGGAAATATTAGTAAAACTCAAAGATTATGAATTGATGCTTTATTTCTTATTTTTTCCTGTTTCCCAAAAGGTTAAAATTTTTACAATTACAATGTATTTCTTTGAATTTTTTTTCTCTTTTTTTTTTTTTTTTTACAAAAAGCAATAAATTATTTCCTTGACCGAGAGTTAACCAAAGCCGCCAATAAAGTCTTGTACAGCTGTAAAATTAATCCTCTAAAAAAAAATCAAAATACTAGTAGTATGAAACATTGCATTATCTTTTATATAATCACAGAACTTTTTTTATACACCTATCAATTATAGCAAAAAGTGTTCATATTACATCTAAACTTTGTGGAAGTCAGGGGCCTTAACTCATGCTTTAAAATTGCATGCATTTTCAAAAAAAAAAAAAAAATACATACATACACATATATATATATATATATATATATATATATATATATATATATATATATATATATATATATATATATATATATATATATAAATTAAATTTGCAAAAGATGAATGGGATTGGGCAGCAGGCATAGCCCATTTTATCCCTCAATCTTCCTACAATATTGAGCTATATTGTATTTAAAATCTGATGCTGCCCACAATATGGAACTTATTATTCAAAATATTATGATGCCACAATATTGAGAGCTATGCAAATCAAGCATGGTATAACCACCTAAAGAGAGTTTTTTTCTGATATTAGAAAGAGACAGAACTCTGGAACCCTACTCAAGTTTGCTCTTTATTATTGGCAGTTCTGAAAATGATTGTCTGTACAACTTAAACTGAAATACCCAACCCCCATCAAAAGCAAATGAAACTTGACCAAACAATTTGCAGAACAAAGGAGATAATTGTGTCGAACTAGGGATCTGTATAATAAATTGTGATGGATGTAGACTTGAGTCTTACAGATCAGCAACACAGTTATGAGTAGACAGCATTGAGATGTTCAACAAAGGTTTACTGATAAATCATCTCCATGGGTCATAATTAACCTTGCAACAGAAACACAGTTATACATGTAGCTAGGACATGCAGTCTTCACTCACCTTTGCATAAACTCAATATTTATAACCATATTAACTCATATACTCATAGCTTCTACAGGTCTAAGATCTATGAACTTTAAAAGTGTCAAGCAGAATATGATGTGACAGAATAAAAATTATATGTTACAGTAACATTCATCTCTCTATTTCTCTCTCAGCATAAGTCAGCATACACAATACTTCTCACACACTCAGTAATCTTACAACACATATTGACCAGTTATGTACCTGAATTTTATAACATGTAACCTTTTGTTTGCACACCAGATTGCACTCTGGTTTTAAGTTTAAAAGTATGCTTAATTTACTACATACAGAATCTCTATTTTTTCCTCCCAGAAATTGATATTTTCCAATACAGTTTAACTTCCGTATCTCCAACACCAATATCTCCAATACCATAGATGTCAAAGTGATCTGGAAGTCAAATTCTCAGATATCTCTCAGGTTTTTTTTGTGGTTTCGAGTTCAAGATAACGAGGTTTGACTGTAACCATATTGGATTTTCCCAAATTTGTGATTTTAAATGAAATGCTTGGATGGTTAAGAATTGTATATTTCCCCGAGAAACAGAATTCTTAATAGTTTTTTGGGGGGCTACATGTTTTCAAAAACAAATGAAAATTCTGCTGATTGAAGTCTTTTATAAGATTAAGTTGCTGAACAAAAGTTGAAATCAATACAAGAGAACAAAGTTTCCCAGCAATATGTCTATCAACTTTTATTAAATGACTTTAGGTTGGTATTGTAAAGGCACACAGCACAATGATATGTGAGCTGTACAGCATTGTATTTTACAATTGGTAAAAAAATCTTCATTAAATCATAAGAATATAAATTTTTAAATTTCAGTTATTTCTAATTATGACACTGATTTGCACTTTTTGAGTCTTTTGTATTCTATTTCCTTTTGTCTCAGAAGAAAATTACAAAATGCTGAAACTCTCTCTCTCTCTCTCTCTCTCTCTCTCTCTCTCTAGAGTTTTCCATTCATTTGGCTTAAGTCCATTGTAACATAGTGTGTACCTTCAGCTTCATTAAATATCAGTACATAATGCTTAACATCAAAAGAACACTGCAAGATACAGAAAAAATACAACAATTAACTTATTTTACATTGTTCATCCACATTCCAATGGCTGCTAAGGTTACCGTAAAGTCGCTTGTACTGGCCGCACTTTTTTTCTAAAAAGTTCGATGTAGATGATAAATTCTCGCCAAATTATGTATAAATGCATAAACTTACATAAATATATCTTAAATGGTTTCTTTAAAATTAAGCAAAATGCAAATCTAAGAAAAGTGAGGTCAAGGTCACAGGAAAGTTCAAGGTCAAATGTTTTTGATGCAGTTGAATACTTCTCACCGTGAATACGTATCAGTATATTTAAGTTTGATAAAAATATTTTGAATGGTTTATTTAAAACTGAGTGAAACACTAATTTAAAATAAATGAAGTTAAGGTCAAAGGAAAGGTCAAGGTCAAAAAATGTTGATGCAGTTGAAAATGTTACATCAGTATGTATTAGCATATGAAGTTTGATAAAAATATTATAAATGTTTTCTTTAAAACTGAGCTAAACACCAATTGAGAAAAGTGAGGTCAAGGTCAAAGGAAAGGCCAAGGTCAAAAAATATTGATGCAGTTGAATAGCTTATATCAGTATGTATCAGCATATGAAGTTTGATAGAAATATCTTGAATGATTTCATTAAAACTGAGCTAAACACTAATTTAAGAAAAGTGAGGTCAAGGTCAAAGGAATGGTCAAGGTCAAAAAATGTTGATGCAGTTGAATAGCTTACATCAGTATGTATCAACATATGAAGTTTGATTACACTTCCTTGAATGGTATCTTTAAAACTGAGCTAAACACTAATTTAAAAAAAGTGAGGTCAAGGTCAAATGAAAGGCCAACGTCAAAAAATGTTGATGCAGTTGCATAGCCCTCATCAATATCTATCAGCTTATGAAATTTGATAAAAATATCTTGGATAGTTTCTTTGAAACTGAGCTTTGAACAGAGCTAAACACAAAGTGTGATGGAAGGACAGACAGAAGGACGGAAGACGGACATGACAAACACTATATGCCCCGGCCATATTCATGGCGGGGCATAAAAACCTTTCAATTAAAAGCATTCTTTAGAACAACTATTTAAACTAGTTTTAATTGTAACGGGGACCGTTACAGATGTTCCCCAAACGCTCCCCAACACCCTTTTGGTGTCTTATTTCCTGTAAGCTTCATTAAATAAGGCAATGAAGTATATTGATCGTTTTTTGCATTTCACGCGTGCGCACGTGAATGCATGTGCAGGATGACCAAGTCATCTCATCTATACTATTAATGCATCTTTATATTCTCAGTATCAAAACATTTCATCAAAAAATAAATAAGTTCTGGCTATATCAAGTATATTGGTCATCTTAGCATTGCACGCATGCGCACCTGCATGCATGTTCATAATGACCATGCCATTTTGTTTACACTTATAATATGTCTGTTTATTCTTAGTATCAAAGCTTTTCATAAAAAAATATAAAAGTTATGGCTATATTAAGTATATTGGTCATTTAACACATTGCACGCGCGCGCACGTGCATGCATATGCATGCATGCATGCATGTGCATATGACCATGTCATCTTGTCTACACTTTTAATATATATAAATATTTTGAGTATCAAAGCATTTCATCAAAAAGTATAAAAGTTACAGCTATATCAAGTATATTGGTCATTTTACGCATTGCACGCGCACGCACGTGCATGCACGTGCGCGAAAAATGACCTTGATTCCGCATATCTACATAACATGCCTATTAACTCTAAAAAGGTTTCACCTCAATCGGATGAGTAGTTGACAAGATCACTCGCGGACAAAAAAGTACCCAGGAAGAAGAAGAAGAAGAAAAATAATAATAATAATAAGAAACAGAGTAAAAACAATATGTTCCCCAACTTCGTTTGGGGAACATAATTAACTTTATATTGATTTGACAGTATCTTATATAAAACTCTTCTGAACAGCTGTCAGTTCTCAAATACAAAAACTTAGCAAAAGCAAAAGTTCCTCTGGTGTCAAAGAAATATAAACTTTATCCTAATTCTTAGTGACTTGGGACACTGATATAGTTCTAGCTCTGACCCCTATTAGAATTCTACCCTTTTTACTCATAAATGTGCATGATTACATTACCGAATGTCAGAAATCAAAACATTCTTGATAAAATTCTACATGAAAGACCTGACCCATTCACTGGTAGTTCCCCCTGGAACCAACCAGAAAAGCAGACTGCTAAGCTCTAATTAACAGTAAGCAAGTAGCTAATTAATGAGGTGAAGACAACTGGGCTTTTATCTAATAACTGGCCATCATTACCACCAGAGTGTGGTGCTGTCAGCTGTACTTTAAGGGTTTATCCCATAACAGATGGTACTCCATAGTGTTCAGACTACAAGACTGTATCCCTGTCAGTGACCAGTGGCTGATAATGATTCAATACTGCCACCATTCCTAGCTGGTCTCGGAAAAACTGCTGTGACAATTTCAACAATTGTTGTACAAATATCTATTAATATCCATTTAGAAACTGTTCTAAATGAATCAGTTATCATCTGGAATAGCTATGTCTGTTTTGGACATCTTGGACAGCCCTTATGACCTGGATGCTATTGTTCTAGCTGCTGTAATCATGCTGAGGTAGAGATAATTTTAATGTTACCTCTGTATTTCCTCCTAGCTGT